TTTAAGGCCTCATCCTCCACTCCCAGTTAAGGATTGGCATCTTTGGGGAGCGGGTACCTGATTTTTACAGGTACCCACTCCCACTGCAATCGCCTAGATGATTGGAAGCTGAAGCTGCCCCCCCCCTCCTTTCTTGTAGTCTTCTGGGACACGTGACAGGTCCCAGAAGACTAAGGGACCATTCACAAGGCGCAACACTGTCACAGCCGAATACCCACACTAAAGATGCCGGCGCCGGGGAGAGAGGACGGCCGGTGAAATCGGCTGACTTCTATTTTTTTAGATTTTGACTGTAACTGTGCTTTAACTACCCTTGTTTTAGAAACCACTAGAGAAGTGTGACACCCCCAATTAACAATGAAATGGAACTGGAAATTCTGGAGGACATATTTTTCACAAGTGTGTGCTAATGAGGTCAGCTGATGAAATCCTTCCTGTGTTTTACTGGTTTTTCTGTCCTAAATCTACATACCAGCAAGTGATGAAGCTTTCTAAGAAATTCAGGAAGAGCTCAGGATATCCCATTACAATCCACTACCACCAGAGGGAGGGAGCCCTGTATCCAGTCTGTGCACCCATCCAACCTTAAGGGGACCTCTGGACCTGGCAGTTATAATCACTTACCACCAAGACAAAATTTCCCACCTTTAGATGGATGCTCACCTATTCCGCCTTCCTAAGTGATCTGGTTGGATATTGATTACATGCGCATTACCTATGAGCGTCCGGTGAGTGCGCAATTTTATAATTTGCTCCTGTAACTACTTGCCTTGGTATACTGCGATATCAAGTGGATTACCTATATATTTTATGAACTATTTATTTATGCGTTTATATGTTTTTGGGACATTTTATTATTCATTTATCTACTAACATTTAGCGCTGCACTTTTATTTATTTAATATTTTTATTGAAGTCCCTCAAAAGATGTAAAGTGTTACTAAACCCTGGACCCTGCATTCACCATATCTGGTGTCCCACAGTACACAGAACATGGAAATGCAATTATTTTAGTAAATAAAAACTGGTAAATACCTTTTCTCATCAGCAGTTAGAGCAGTCTTGTGACTTCTATCAGTGTCCAGCAGAGCACTGGTTAAAGCTTATAGAAGAACGCAGAACCCGTGACCTCTGTCTAGACCAGTGGTTCTCAACCTGTGGGTGGCGACCCCTTTGGGGGTCGAACGACCCTTTCACAGGGGTCACCTATGACTATCGGAAAACACATATTTTCGATGTGTAAAGAGCAGCTACTGTGTTGAAAGCAGCTGCTCTGTTAAAAGCAGCTACTGTGTTGAAAGCAGCTACTGTGTTGAAAGCAGCTACTGTGTTGAAAGCAGCAGTATTGGAAGTAAAACGACACTTCATGAATTATAATTACTGGGTACATAATTTTATGGTTGGGGGTCACCACAACATGAGGTATTGTATTAAAGGGCCACGGCATTAGGAAGGTTGAGAACCACTGGTCTAGACAGTGCTGATTAGCCCTGTGCTGATCGTGTGCACTTTCTCAAGAAAAAAGAAAAACCTCTCTAGCAATACACACCAAACTGAGCATGTGTAGCATGCCCTACATGATATGTCTTATCAGGAGATAATTGGGGGCGCTGGAAAAAGGGGAGGATCAGAGAAGACAGGATTAGACAACATTTTTACACAATGCGGAGGATTAACCCCTTAGGTTCCACAGTGAGTATAACAAGCATGCTTCACTGCTTATACAGACTGATTGTACTGTTGTGGGTTTAGTAACACTTTAAGAATACTTCCTGTAATTCCACTTTCTAGCACCCATTCCATGTGCTGTTACGTTCAGATTATACTGTTACTATAAAGTCATTTTAATAAACAAGTGTAAAAATAATAATACGTACTTCCAGAGCTCATATAACAAAGCTAATTTCTCATATTTTATAAGCACATTTCCAACATATATTTGAACTTTTTTTTCCCTGTTAACATTTTTTTTCGCACCACCTTCAAACTCACACATTTATCTTACATATTTAAAACAAATTCCCAGAATTATTTTACCAATATTTGTAAAGTACTACTTTACATTCTAAGGTGTCCGTTTATGAGCCAGCGGTAATAGATCGCTGCTCAGTTCTCCGGCATTCTCGGAGAACACAGTTCTCCTGTGAATGCAGTTTATGAAGCAGTTCTCCGAACGAAGGGAGAACGGTCTCCAAACGCTGGAGAACGGTCTACAAACTCTGGAAAACGGCTCATTTTACTATAATCTCGTGAGATTACAGTAAAAGATCAGTTTACTAAGCAGAGGTAAATTATCTCTGCTTAGTTTTCGGTCCCTCCGATTCTCCAGCTCTGGGCTGGAGAATCTGGAGGGAGAACACAGATCTCCAGAGAAGGGCTGAACATATTCTCCTGGGTGTTATAAACTGTGAATGACCAGAGAATAGCTGCGATCCTCTGAATCTCAGCTATTCTTTGTGTCATAAACGGACACCTAAATACAGTGTGGTATAAATAATATTAATAATTAATAATAAAGCAAAATATTATTAATAATAACACTAATAATAATTGTTATTATTATTATTATTTTTATTATTAATAATGAAAATAATAGTAATAATAAATCCTGTACATTTAACAAGCTTATTAAAACAGAGGATTTGAATTTGGATAACCAGAGTGGCTCCCATGCTGTGTCACGCTGTAACATAAGCTCTTTGTAATATATGCTAAAAAGAATTAATAACTGTTACCAGATGTGATTTGACTCTGAAGAGCTGCATGTTATTAATTGCTGTGTGTGGAATTCCTAGTCAGAGCTGTCAATAAGTACACATCATGTTCCTCTGATTACTGTATAAACAGTGAAATGAAAGACCCTGGACATGCAATATGGAGAACTGTTAAATTTCAGTTGAAATTCGGAATAGTGTTAGAATGCTCATTAATAATGCAATTAGCAAGCAAAGTAGAAATGAAAATGAGTTCATCTGAACACACGGTAAATAGCAGCTTCTAAACAAATGGTAATCTTTTATATTTTACTAAATATAAAAATTTTTTTTTTTTCAGACAGCTGGATTGGCGAATAAGCAATTACACTTTCTTTGACCCTAAAAGGTGAGAGGCTTTTTTTTGATGATTTATTTTTTCCTCAGTAGCAAACAATATCAAGATTATGTTAAGTTTTGTCAATTTTAAAGTATAACTTTTTTTTTGTTTTGGACAGAGTGGAGAAGGATTAGAACACCTGTCAGGTTTTTATTGCTGTCTGTGCCCCTGTCAGGGAGATCCACCCTTTCTATTTCTCCTGTTTACCATTAACATTGAAAGTAAAAGCAAAAGAAAATCCAAAAATTGTGGGCTGTTCCCAGAAATGTAATAGAGGGGACATCTTCCAACTGGGATTTTCTCTCACTCTCTCTTTTGGCTATGAGACAGGAAGTGAAGGTAAATCTCCCCAATACAGATACACAGATAGCAAAAAAACTGACAATGGTTATAACCAGGGGTGGACTGACCATTTGGAAACTCGGGCACTGCCCGAGGGCCCGGGGTCAGTAGGGGGCCCCAGGAGATGCCCCTGGTACCTTTTTCATAGGCTTTTTTGAGTTTGGGCAAGGACACAGGGGCCCCATGATCCCCTATTGTCCAGGGGCCCCATGAGTTGTCAGTCCGCCCCTGGTTATAATCCTCCTGTACTCTATCCAAAATGTGAAAAAAAAGGTTTAGCCTATAGTTCTACTTTAGCCCCTTGACGACGATGTAACACAAATATGCGGCCTCACAGAACTGAGCTTTTTTTCCATGGGGCCACATATTTGCCTACCTGTCTTTCTGCTGGAAATGCGCCGCAGAGTGTGCTCCCAGCACAAAGGCTGGGGTGTCACTGAGAGCCCTGGGTCCCGTTTTAACAAACGGGGCCAGGAACTTCTGATTCTGGGTCACATGATCGCTGTGATAGCCTCTGATTGGCTATCACAGTGATCAGTCACTGTACAGCCTGGCCCTTGTTTCTTTCTCTCTTTATGAATGGAGGAGAGAGATACATTGTATCTCTCCAACTCCTGGAATAGAGGGCGAAAAATGTTTGTTAAAAAAAGAAAAAGAAAAGATAAATAAATAAATATTAAAAAAAATAAAAGAAAAAAAATAAAGAAAAAAATACCTAGATCAAGGTTTGATCTAGTTCAGTCCCAGGGTAAGTGTTTGGGTCAGGGTCAAAGGTCAAAAGATCAGGGTCAAAGGTCGGGATTTTTTTTTAAAAAAAATTGGTATCAGTGTCAGTTAGTGTCCATGTTAGTGTGTTTTAGGTAAAAAAAAAAAAACAAAATGTGCACTATTGTCTCCGGGATGTGCTATGGGTACAAACAACATACACATATATGGTATCGCTGCGATTGTCAAGAGCTGGAAAATTTATTTTCGGTTGCTCTTTGATGGTAGGTTATGGTAGTAACAAGAAACACACAGCTAAATTTAAAAAAATGATTTTTTTTTTACTATTTTGGGCCAGTTTTCCTTTGATAATAATAACCATTACCATTTACCACCAAATGAAAGCCCAATTTGTCCTAAAAAAAAACAAGATATAATTCATCTGGATATACAAAGTAGTTGTGATGATATGTAAGGTTTTACTAACACATGTCAAGGTTGCAAAATTGTGCTTAGGCGTTAAGATTTGTTTTACCCTTAGGCGTGAATGGTGACAAGGGAGGGAGGATTCGGACAGAGTCAAGGTGTTTCTAGCTGTGCTAAATAATGATGTACAAATTACATAGCTACATGGTTATTCTGGTTGAAAAAAGACACAAGTCTATCCAGTTCAACCAATGGAAGAATGCAACAGCCCTTCCAACACAGGAAAACTTAAGAAAGTCATTAGAGATGAGCGAAGTATTCAAAAATTCGATTCGGCTGATTCGGCGAATTCGAGGAATAAATTCGATTCGATGCGAATATATTCGCTGCGAATTTAACTTATAAAAAGGGTGTTTCTAGGCTTCAGAGAGCCTTTATATTAGTGCAGAACACTGTACCTTTAATTTAAATGCCCTTGGAGTCTGCTGGGGAAGAGAAATAATACTGTCAGTCAGTATGACATGCAGATGAGTGCCGTCGATCTTAGAATCACCGCACACTTCACTCATTTGGGCAGTCACGGGGCCAAAACCAGAGTGTGGAGCCACAGTGTGGCGGTGGAGGCAGCAGCAGCAATGGGAGGCCATACAGCACCCTATGACAAAAATGGAACCCACCAGCAGTGTGAGGAGACCTGAAAGTGGCACATGGCAGAGTGTGGCGATAGAGACAGCAGCAATGGGAGGCCGTACAGGGACCCATGAGAGACTCTGGACCTGGCAGCAGCATGAGGAGGCGGTACGGGGGCCCATGGCAGATTATGGGCCTGGCAGCAGCAATGGGAGGCCCGTAATCTGCCAGCATCCTATGACAAAATGGAACACACCAGCAGTGTGAGGAGACCTGAAAGTGGCACATGGCAGAGTCTGGCGATGGAGACAGCAGCAATGGGAGGCCGTACAGGGACCCATGAGAGACTCTGGACCTGGCAGCAGCATGAGGAGGCGGTACGGGGGCCCATGGCAGATTACGGGCCTGGCAGCAGCAATGGGAGGCCCGTAATCTGCCAGCACCCTATGACAAACTGGAACCCACCAACAGTGTAAGGAGACCTGAAAGTGGCACATGGCAGAGTCTGGCGATGAAGTCAGCAGCAATGGGAGGCCGTACAGGGACCCATGACACACTCTGGACCTGGCAGCAGCAAGAGGAGGCGGTACAGGGGCCCATGGCAGAGTGGCGAAGCGTAAGCAGCTTAAATTGAAGGCCATACAGAGGACTATGTTAAAAATAATAACATGTTTGGGGCATGATTCATGGCGGATTTAGTCAGTTGTGTCAGGAACTGGTGGTTTGAAATCCAGACTAATCCACGCCTGATTCATTTTCACAAACGTGTGTCTCTCCACACTTTGGGTGGACAGTCGTGTCCTCCGCGGAGTTACAATACCTCCTGCCGCACTAAACACGCGCTCCGATGCCACGCTACTGGCCGGGCATGACAGCCTTTCAAGGGCAAATTCAGCTAGTTGGGGCCAAAGGTCAAGTTTCGTTGCCCAGTAGTCAAGGGGATTGTCTACCTCGGTTGGCAGGGTGCTGTCCAAGTAGGCCCGAGCCTGTTGTTTGAGGTCCTGCTCCAGGTCCACCTGATGCTGCTGCTGCTGCGGCTGGTTAGTAGTTTCCTCACTGCGCTGGTGAAGAAAGCTACTCATCATCGACTGCAGACTGAGGCAGCCGCTGCAGGTGGAGCTGCCACTGCTCCTACCACCCCACCCCTCCCCTGCTGCCATGGCAGCGGAACGTGAGTGCACAGGGCCCACAGTGTCTGAGGATGGACGTTGGCGCAGAAAGGCAGAGACCAACTGACTACATAGGTGGTTTTTATAGTACGTTATTTTGGCCTCCCTCTCAGCAGGTGTGAAAAAGGCCACCATTTTTGAATGGTAGCGAGGGTCCAACAAGGTGGACAGCCAAAAGTCATCCCTCTGTCTGATGGTTATTATTCGGCTGTCGCTACGCAAGCAACCGAGCATGCTATGGGCCATTTGTGCCAAGGAATGCGAGGGACTCCCTGCCTCCATCTCCACAGCATACTGCCACGGTGCGTCTGGGTCCTCTGTCTCCTCCTCCTCCTCTACCAGATGCTCCTGCTCCTCCACTCCTGTCCGCTGAGTGGAAAAAACCACCCATTTCACTCAATAATTCCTGAGCACCAATGTCCTCCTCTACCTCCTCCTCTTCTTCCTGTCCTGCCCCCACAGGGGTCATGTGGCGTTGAGATCTGTGCGCCATGTCTACCGCACCCTGACCAGCCATTGTTAACAGCATTTGTTCCAGGACGTGCAACAGTGGAATGACGTCGTTCATCCCATAGTCCTGCCGACTCACGAATAGCGTGGCCTCCTCAAAGGGCCTGAGCAAGCGGCAGGTGTCACGCATGAGCTGCCAATGGCTGACATCTAAGTTACACAGGGGAGTACCTTTATCCGCTTGTAACATCAGGAAATCGGTGATGGCCTTTCGCTGTTCGTAAAGGCGGTTAACATATG